TTTTTTTTTTTTTTTTTTATTCCCATCTATTTAGCAATTGGACATACATTGCAAGCCTATCGACAATTATCATAAATAAATTAACCTGATTCTAATTCAATAGCTAGACTCTACGCAAAAGAACAAAAGTTCAGGCCTCAGCCTTGAAACGTATAGCATATAATTTATTTTCCGTATACCTTATATTGTTTTTGTAATTTTTTCTTGAGTAAAACTTGTTTGTTTTTTATGTGGGCTGCAAAAGTCGAAATCAAACTTGAATCACTCACATAATTATTTTAGTATTTCTTATTTTTGCATCCTAATATAATTTGTGGAACTTATATATTTTGTAATAATTTAGTTGGCCAATTACGACATTAAGTACTAATAATGTCAATGTCTTCCGGTCATTAGCCGGTTAGATCTTCTTCTTCTGCCCAACTCTGAATTTCCATAATTTTATTAGGTATTCTTCTACATGAAACTCTTTTCAAGTGTTACTTTTATCGTTATCCCTCTCGCGTCTCCTTCACTCACCACTCTCTCTCTCTCTTTACCACTCTCTCTCTTTACCACTCTCTCTCTTTACCACTCTCCCTCTCTCTCTTTCTCTTCCTCTCTATCTCTCTCTGTCTCTGTTCCTTCCTTTACTTTTAGCTATTATTTCTCATGTCTGTAGCAAACTTTTATTTGTCTAAAATATATATTATTTAAGCACCAAATAAACAGAAATTACGTTTACGGAACAAGCCCATTACTTATATATATACACATATATTTATATGCAAAGTACATTTTAGTGTGTTGATATTCAAAGTACACCCAATTTTCGGGTCTGACATACTCGTTAATGAAGTAGAGAGAGCGTTTTGGCTACATGCAAATCGAAATTTATAATTGTAGTACTCATCGGCAGTGTGGACGAGTATTTAGCAATCGCTTATACCCGAAAAAACTCTATGCTGTTTTTTCCTTGTTACAACCGAAATTCAAATAATTCAGAATGAATAAAAACAGTTTTTTTTTTACCGAATTTTTCTACTTTTGGCGACATTCAAATGTGATTAGTCTTGAATTGGGTTCTGATCCAATCGGAGCTACGTTGAAGAGAAAAAATTGGGATCACGATGAAGTTCCTTGATAAGTTTGAGTTACCCCGGGCAGGTAACAAATATTTCTAGTGTAATTCATATGGCACGGATCCTTTATAGTAATACCACTGCAGATCCTGGAACAAAGGAATTCCCAATATTGGACTCGCTATGGCCATCGACTCTCATTTGCTTGGGATATTTACTATTCACACTTAAGCTTGGACCTATTTATATGCGGAACCGCCAGCCGTATAACGTGAAAGCCTTCATGCTCGTCTATAATATCGTTCAAGTGATCTACAATGGAATAATGTTCTCTTACGTATGTATCTCGGACATCCCGGTTTAGTTGACAACAATTCTACAGAGTTTCCTTAAAGGGGGTGTACCGAGTTATCATTAATCCGGCGTACGACAATAAATGCATGGAATCCTTCCCACTTGACCATCCACTGAAGTCTACCGAACGCTGGGCTACATACATCTTCTTCTTGAATAAGTTGCTCGACCTGATGGATACCGTGTTCTTTGTATTACGAAAAAGTTATAAGCAAATAACTACACTACATCTATACCACCATGTCATTATGGTCTATGGTACGTATTGGGTTATCAGAATGTACGGCACCGGCGGCCAATACGCAATGATGGGATTCTTTAACTCCTTCGTGCATACCGTCATGTACTCCTACTACTTTATTTCGGCTCTTTATCCCGAGCTCAAGGGCAGTCTCTGGTGGAAGAAGTATATCACTCTACTCCAATTGGCACAGTTTATTTTGCTATTCTTCCAACCTATTCATGTGCTCATCTTTAATCCGACGTGCGGATTTCCAATGGGACTGCATCTTATGCAGCTGGCGGCGGCAACATCCTTCATAATCATGTTTAGCAATTTTTATTATCATGCTTACATTAAGCCCAAGAAATTGAAAACGCAGTAAAAAAAAAAACTTAGCTTTGTTAATATATACAGTACCGAGCAAAAATGAGTGAATGTTACAGAACTTTGACTTTCATCACGCATAAAAATTAAACCATACCAGGAAATCAACAAATTTTTTTGTGTGTTTGTTTATTAGTGTATTCTTAACAAATACAAAAAAGTTGCAAGGCTAAATTAGCAAAATTCAAAAAATTAGAAATTAAAAACCGAAAAAATCCACATAAACTCAATTTTGCACGTTTAAAAAAAAACTACTAAAAACTAAAAAAACTAAACATTTTTAATATTTAGTCCAAAACCCTTATTAGCAATAATTTTGTTGACTATTTTTGGCATGCTCTCAGCCAAACTTTGAATCATTTCTTTCGGAAATTGGCTCCACTCCGCTTCTACGCGCTCCCATAAGCTGTCAATGTTCGTTGGGGCTGCATCATACTGTCCCAGCCGTCTTTTCACTATTGAACACAGATTTTCAATAGGATTGAAGTCGGGATAGGATTTATATATAGACTCTATATGTATGGAGCGAAAATTAGCTTAAAATTCTGCTTTCCTATCCATTCCTAAATAATCTTTACAGTATGTTTTGGATCGCCATCTTGTTGAAAACCCTTTCTCTGTGGGGACACGCACATTTATCAGTGAATTTGGGAAGATGGGTTTGAAGAATATTCATATAATCCTTCCTCTATGTAGAGGATCAACGTTCTACCAAGAGAAGCATCCCCAAACCATAATGCTGCCGCAGCCATGTTTGACGATTTCCTTTACATGATGTCGTTGAATGCGTTCCCCAGGTCTGCACCAGCAATATTGCTTTCCATATGATTGGAAACGGTTAAATTTTAATTCATCTGACCAAACAACTCGTTTCCAATCATAAATGCTCCAGTTTTTGTGATCCCTTNATATATATAGTTTGGGATTTGGAAGTTAGCTGAATGGATATCGTATCTTCATTCTAATCTATACTCATACTCTACTATGGAATAGAGTGCTCAACTGTCGACATGTTCTCACCATCTATCGCTGCTCATTTTGAATTCATTTCTTTTTTTTGGCATTTAAGTAGCTGTTGCTTAGTGGCGATTTCTATTTGATAGCCGCAGTGGAGGCTATCAAGTCACCGAGTTTGCCGTAAGGAAAGAACAGAGCCTTGGAAAACAGTGCAGTGCAAAATGGGCGTCGATATAATCGAACTTTTCAGTAGACCTGCAAAGGGTACAATGTCCAATTTGGGTATTTGTGCGGAATTTAAAGAGTTTTTGTTTTTGGATAGATCCTGTTATGGCTAGCTCTTTTCCAATGATGAACTCGGGATGGACTGTGACAGTTATTCTGGTCGTCTATTTAGCATTTGTGCTAAAACTGGGTAGAATCTTTATGCAGAACCGCAATCCATACAATATCAAGAACGTAATGCTGGTCTATAACGTGCTGCAGGTGATCTACAATGTCATACTGTTTCTTTATGTACGTATATGTTAGGTTTCTCCTTAAAAGTGATTAGCTATTCATATAATTGTCTCTTGCAGGGACTCGATATGATACTCATCAATCCAGTATACAATATACGGTGTATAGAAGTGCTGCCCCTGGATCACCCCTTCAAGCCAACTGAGCGGACTTTGGCATATTTGTACTTCTTGAACAAAGTAATCGATCTGTTGGACACAGTGTTCTTTGTGCTGCGCAAGAGCTACAAACAGATCACGTTTCTGCATGTGTATCATCATGTGCTGATGGTTTCCAGCACGTACTGGATATTACGTATATATGGTGGCTCTGGCCAGTTCCATGTGATGGGCACATTGAATACCTTTGTGCATTCCGTTATGTATTCCTATTACTTCATTTCCGCCTTGAGTCCGGGCCTCAAGAGCAGTCTTTGGTGGAAGAGATACATTACCGAAATTCAGCTAATCCAATTTGTGATAATACTTGCTCAATCATTGATCGTGCTCATATTCAATCCGAGCTGCCAGTTTCCCATCTTTTTGCAGTATGTGCAACTCACTCAGGCAACGGTCATGATCATTTTGTTTGGCAAATTTTACATCAATTCATACATCAAGCCAAAATCGAAAAAATCTCAATAGAATTTTTAGCTTATTTTTGTTCTAAATTATAAATTGGAGTAAAAAAAAAATATTTTTTACAGTAAAAAAAAACTTGTTTTTTTATTTATTATTTCGCCTTTTTGCAACTTATGGGAATGAGCTATATATGTATAATCTTAAGAGACAATTATCAGCAGTGTGCGTCTAACTTTCTATGATTTGTACTTTATATAACCTTGAGTTCGAACTTGATATCAACTATTTAGCCATATATACTACAGGTATATTACAAGTAGGTTTTATTAAGTGCTCAATTAAGTGAATATCTAATTACGATTACAGCTTTGATCGTATCTTATAAATATCAATGAACACTAATCGCGTAGAGCTTTTGTTCCAATTGCTGTATTTGTCTGTAGCTTTTTCAAGAGCTTTTAATTATTCGTATTCTGTTCCAATTCTGTTTCGTTTTTAACTAGTTCTATTCTGTACAATGCTGAGAGCTGGAAAGCAACTTAAAAACTATTTAATTAGATATGTAATGCATTTGACATTCGCATTCATTCGCAAATCGTATTGCGAGCTTAATAGACGAAAGGTGGCTTTTAACCATGCTCAATATTTTCAATATTCCGTCACCTGGTAATGTAAATAATTGATATATAAAAGTGAATGATAATCTATAGAATAGATTTGTTTACACAGATCCCAATCCGTTGCCACTAACGAATTCACCATGGCCGATCTTTCTGATCGTCACAAGTTATCTGATATTTGTTCTCAAAGTTGGTAAGATCTATATGCGAAATCGAGAGCCGTACGACTTGACGAATGTGTTGCGTGTTTACAATCTTGGCCAGGTGGCATACAATACGATCGTATTTAGTACTGTCAGTAAATATTGAATAATTTCCAATCGGACTTGTTTAATACAATTATTTCTTTATTATCATTTCAGACATTCTACTTTCTGATCATTGAGGGCATTTGTGATCTGCACTGCATGGAAACATTTCCCTTCGGGCATCGGCACAAAAACGTGGAGCGCTATATACACTATGCCTACTACATCAACAAGATCACCGATCTGCTCGACACGATATTCTTTGTGCTGCGCAAGAGCTACAAGCAGATCTCATTTCTGCACGTCTATCACCACCTCATAATGGTCATTGGCTGCTATTTGGTTATGCGATTCTATGGCACGGGCGGTCACTTCAATTGTCTCGGCCTGTTCAACACGTTCGTGCATGTCTTTATGTATTTCTACTACTTCCTCTCAGCGTATTATCCGGGCGTCAAAGCGAACATCTGGTGGAAGAAATATATAACGATAGCACAGCTCATACAGTTCATGATGATCTTCTTATATTCCGCCTACGTGCTGATCTATGCCGAGAACTGTAGCTTCCCCAAAGGTTTAATAGTTCTGCTCGGCTTTCAGTCGTTGCTCATGATGTATATGTTTGGCAAATTCTATATCAAGACGTATACAAAGGACAAGAAGAGCTCCAAACAAATGTAAGCATAATAGACAACATTTGGTATTTTGTTTTAATTTATTGTTTTCGAAATGGAATAAAGTTGAATGGAAATGAAATCAACATTGCGTTTGTGTATTTTGTCTCTTGGTTACCTAATGACCAAAGGGCCTTTCTGTGATCTAGATTCTAAATAGACAATAATTTGCAATTCATGTGTGCACCACACGCCGCCCCACAATGGGGCAATCGAAAGGGGCAGCTAAGGGCGACTGATTCGCAATTTATAAGACGCCGCCGCGTTACAAATGGCTGAGAAAAGTAGCAGAAAATGCCGTAGAAATGGCAGCAACAGCTTGAAAAATAGAAATTGCTAGCCGGAAAAACAGCTGTAGGCAATCAAACAACCACACACATACACGCGCACATGATACATGGACACACACACATAGACACACACCTTCATAGAGAGAAAGAGCACATTGTTAGCTACACTTGATAAGCATGATTCAAGTCGAGTGGGAAATCCAAAAAACACTCACAGAACAGAGTAACGATGTGCAGTGAATGTCGGCATGCATACATGCACACACATGGACTCACACACACACACACACATAGGTAGCTGACAGTTTCCGCTTGATTTTCAAAATGCTAAAAGAAGAGAGCATTAGCTGAAAGTGCTTGACTGCAAAATACCCTTTCTAAAGCTTACAAGGCGAAGAGACTTGACTGTGATTTACTTGATTTCAGATATACCAACAGGAAGTAAAGTGCTTGATTGTTGTATACCCTGTTAATTTGTTATAGGCAAATAAATAAAAAACTTGGAAAAACTATAGAAATTTGTGAAGATGAGTTTGCCAGTTGAATAATAGTTAATATAAATT